CCCTGATTTCCTTTGTTTTTACAATTATTTTGTTTATAAAATGTGAATTTCATTTTACCATATTATTACAAATTCCATAACTAAGACATTTTTCAAGATCACTTTGTATGATTTTCTGTTGAATCAATGACGTGCCAGTGATGTGTCATATCTGGTTGGAGGGCACACTACAAGATTCACAATGTGGTCTTCAAATGTTTTTTTTTTTGAATAAAATATACATAATATAAATATTACCGGTAGTTGCTTTCAAAATTTATTTCAGTGGGCTGTGTTTTAAAAAAAAATGTCATTTTCGTCTCAATTGACAAATCTTTTGAGCTATTGGGGTAGTGATGCATCACCCGTCATGCCATGAATAACTTTTTCTTCAAAACTGTTGAACCGTTTGGCTTTTTCTTTTCGTGTCGAGCCAGCCAGCTACCTTGAAAAGTATATTAATGAGTAGTATGGCATGTGAAGCTGATCCACACGAATTCATGTAACTGTGATAATCACATCCATCATTTTTCGTAGTCCTTTCACTGACCCAAATTAACCCTCGTTTGAGTTTTGTAAACTTTAATGTAGTGTAGAATACTTTATTTTTGCTTGGAATTTATTTTTGCTGAAGGAATGATTCAGTAAAAATATAATCCAGCGAATATATTGTCATATTTCACATTTAAAGCGGGGGAGTCGTCACCTGCTCATGCGTCAGATAGCATGTCATTTTTTACAAACAAGAGTCTATCATGAGCCTTTGCGTTTTTAGTGTGCGTTGTTATCGTCGCTTGGGACTCAATTCCTGCGCATGCACAAGTGACTACCAGCCCGCTTTAACTCATTAAAAATCAGTAAAACTAAACTGCATGCAGAAACCCTAAAAGTCTTTTTAGTGGAAATTAATTCCAGCTAAAATAAAGTATTTTACTGTAATGCAAGTTGCTTGAACATATTTTTTGCATGTGTGTGATGCATGAATATTCAAACATTTTACTTTGTATATATTCATTTGGAATCACAAAAGTCGGTATTACTGATACATAAACTGAAAAAAACGTGTTGCTTATATATCCCTAATACATACCACATCGACCTGTACTGCCATATCTATGTAAACTATAAAACCTTAATTTGATACAAATTATATCATCAACATTTCTTATCTAGGATATGGGATCAACCATTTGAAATGATAGGGGTGGATGAACATTTTTTTGTACATGGTGTCTTATCTGTATATTTTCATTATATATATATTAATTTTTCTACAATAATTTGAGATCACCTACTCATACATGGAAATATCCATAATTTGTCAAAATTTTATTATGTCATACAGATCAAAACAAACATTTAATCGTTGACAAATTTAAGGGTCACAAAGATATTTCTCAAAAATGCTGGTTGTAAATTTTGTAATAGCGACCATTTTGCCACTTCTTATCATTGGTTGTTATGGTGACATCTCAAGTTTTTTTTACTCCTGTGTGCAAAACACACAATGGGAGTCTTTGCAGTTAGCCTGTCTGTATGTGTGTGTGTGTCTGTGTGTGTGTGTCCGTCTGTTCCACTGATATCTCAAAAACCATATGTTGGTTTTTGATGGAACTTGATGCTCTGGACTAATGGGCAGAATTGGTAAAGTTTCGATTTCAATCCATGCATATTAATTACCTAATTTGCATGTCGATTAGCTAATTTTTAGCTGTTCCAGGACTGTTCCACTTATATTTAAAGAACCACTCATTGTATTATGATGAAACTCAGTACAATGCTTGTTATAGGAAATTGCGCACCTAGTTTGAATTAATATCTGTGCATATTAATTACCTAATTTGCATAATAATTAACTAATTTTTAGCTGTTCCATGACTTTTCCACTGATATTTAAAGAATTACTT